ATGGATTGAAATATCCGTATATCTACCACTTTCGTATAGTTTCTCATAATCCGCTGAAAGAACGGAGGTTAAATCAACAGCTTTATTCATTTCGTTTTCAAGTGTTCACGGTGCGGTCGTAGTATAACTAGTTATTATTATCAGTCCCTACACTTTTAGTCGGAAAAGTCTGTCGCACAAATCTGCCTATAACTATGCTGATCTAAGAAAATGCGCCAACTTCTTCGTCTGTATGTAGTCACTCCAGCGCCCAATTTCAATAATAAACATAAAGACTTAACTTAGTCTTATATCGACTTAGTGTACATTTATTAGACTTGACGCATGATTAGACTGAGACTCAACCACCAGCTCACAATTTTCGTTAATGGATGACAGTACTGAGATCATACAAGAGATTGTAGAGTAGAGAAAGAATAGACAAGGACAATAATTAAGAAAGTCAACGTGGAAAAAAATAATATGGAAATTCTGAAATAAATGCTAAAAGATATAATTGTTCGGGTGGAGAAGCATTGCCAGTCGGTTTAACTGTAGTCGAAGAGGAGACCAAGTCCCATACTTATACTTCTAGCGAGGCGGAGGCCAAGAGAAAGTCATGCTCGCGATTGTGTGTAATCTCTAATGTACAGTATGTAATCTTGTTTCGTGAATACGTTTTTCACTAATGCGCGCAGCGCGTGTGTTTTGAAGTTGCCTTTGTTGGTTATTATAATTTTCAGTCATGCAAAGTCACGTCAGTACAGCCAACTTTTACAGTAATTACTGAATTATGAATTATATGCCACCACCATATTAAGCATACAAAGGAAGATTATGGTTTCTTTCTTGAGGGGTACTGAGAGTAGAACATGAACACATACATTACCCAAGCAATTAATACGTTCTCAACATGGTGTGCTTATAAAGAGGCTTTTTATATGATGTGCTTATAGAGGGGGTGACTGTAGAGGGGGACAACTGTACTAGTTTGCAAGAAAGCCTAAAGATAATTCTTGTTGTCTGGCTTCTCATGACATACTATGTGAATATGTAAACCCTAGCAGAATAGATATTTTATGTAAGCAAATGAACATATCAGAGGATAATTTATATAGCATTAATATTATTGCTCTCATAAAGTCAATTGCATAAAATTAATAAATTGTGAAACAACTCGGAATTAAATCAAAGTTTTGAAACTAGAAACACCTCCCAATCAGCCCATTTAAACTTGTCAGATGAATGCCTAATTGGAACCTGGTATGAATTTTTTCTAGCATTAGGTATCATATATTCACTACTACTATTAAAACCCACACCATAATAACCAAAAGATAAATCACCACCATACCCAAAAAAAGGAAAATGATTATCATCATCATAAATGGCATATCCATCTTTGTCAGCAAAAAAACTTACTATATTCTTATCCTTGCTTTTATCTAATAAAAATATAAAACTTTCTTTAGTGTAAATCCAACCAGTTTGAACACCCCATGCAAATGGGTTATATCCACCAAGTATTTCTTCAGTGCCCAACACTTTTCCAACAGCAATTGTAGGTCCTTTGTTTTTACACAGTTCTCTAAAATTTGCAATTGTATTACCATCCTTACTTCGTCTATAAAGTAGAGTAAGTTTATAACCATCATGCTTTACAGATGTCCTTTGATTTTCTTGGAGTAGCCTTGTTGATTCCACAATCTTTGATGAGATCCATTTTGCTTGCTCTTTGTTAATAATGAGTGAATCAATATCATATCTTTGTCCTGTTCTTGGTGGTAATATGTGAGTGGTTGGTTTATAATCTTTGTCATAATGGTACTTTAGAACATCATGACGTAGCTTTTTAGGTAATAATTCCTCATACAACATAATGTTATCAGGGGAAATACTGAAAAATCTTATATGAGGAATACAATCTGCTATGGTCTCTTTGACTGTATTGACACCATTAGATGACCAATTATCTATATCATTTCCAAGTTCTAGTTCTGGCACTTGTTTAGTCGCCCATTGAATGACTGACATCCAAAGATCATTTTCATCTATGCTTAGCTCATCATTCTTGAGAAGAGTGATCAAACTCTCCTTTGGTAAGGTTGCAATATCATTCGATTTAAAAACAATGTCAGGGTGAGAAACCATGATTTGATTGCAATGATCCAAAAGTTTGTTTAAAGAGGCCGTGGATGTAGCACACTTATGAACTGTAAGAATATTTTGTTGGATCCATTCTTCTTGTTTATCAATCAAATAATTTTCAATTGCAGTGAGAAGATCAAGTAGTCTAAACTTGCTCGCTCCATCCAAAAGGCTGATCCAATCAATATTCTTGCCTGAATCGTAAACAATTTGCCCAGTGTAAATATACCTGTCATGAATCGTTAACTTGATAAGTATTCACATCATACATATAATTATACGTATCTCTTTGACAATTTAAATTTTACCTGAGCAATAGTTCGAAAACGTCAGGAATCACATCTTCAAAGGTTATAGCTGCCTTTTGAACTGCTTCGGGTGTCTCCACATTTCCGGTTAAGCTATTCTCAAGGAGTGTGCTTCTCGTACATATGACCAACGTATGAGCGAAGAATATTTTGCTATTTGGCTCTTTTCCAACATGGATTGAAATATCCGTATATCTACCACTTTCGTATAGTTTCTCATAATCCGCTGAAAGAACGGAGGTTAAATCAATAGCTTTATTCATTTCGTTTTCAAGTGTTCATAGTATAAGTAGTTATCAGCCCTATACTTTTAGTCGGAAAGTCTGTTGCACAAGCTCTGCGAATCTGCCTATACTATGCTGATCTACTTATTGATGCGCCGATTGAATAAACATAAAGACTTAATAGTCTTATATCGACTTAGTGTACATTTATTTAGACTTGAAGCATGATTAGACTGAGACTCAACCACCAGTTCACAGCTTTCGTTAATGACGGCAGTACTGAGACTATTATTGTTAGTGCCAGTAGTGCATACAAGAGATTGTAGAGTAGAGGAAGAATAGACAAGGACAATAATTAAAAAAAGTCAACATGGAAAAAAATAATATGGAAATTCTGAAATAAATGCTAAAAGATACGATCTAATACCATATAATATCATTCAAGTTGACATATTTGTGACATACCTGACTAGTAACTACTCTGAATCAAAGAGGTCTTACCAATATCGCTTGCACTAGCGACCAATGTCTCGTCTATGTTGAGATCTATGCCCTATATGGTGAAAACAACAAAGAATAGTTATACGATTGCAAAGCCCAGCCACTGATGATGTTTATGAATAACTTACCTTCAAGGGCTCATCATACTGTTCTATCCATACGTGAACGATTTTATCTGACCCTCCAAATATCGCCCTTTGATTTATTGTTGAATCTAATTGCTTTGACATCCGGAAATTCCTACTGTATAATATAGCCAAAACTAAAACATGATGTTAGTTAAAGCACTTTTTCAATCAAACCCGATTCAAACTAATTCCTCACCGAACCCTTTTAATTTGCAAAGGTATCTTAATGTCTTGCTGTCCGTGCTCGAATACTTCAATGGTACTCAAAGACAGTACTTTACCTCCTTTCACCACTAACAACTTATTGGCGTATGTCAGCCTTTTGTTTATTTAGCTAAGACGAAGTAACGGTGATATTCACGAGTAAAATTCTCAGTTGGCAACTTCAAGTGAGAGTTTCTCAAGAATGAATAAATCAAATCGTGTCAATTCTTTTATTTCAAGTTAGTTGAAAGTGACGTTTTTGAGAAATCGTAACTGCATTTAGCTCAGAACACAGATCATTGAGTAACATACCTATTCGCATTACTTTTCAGCCACTCCACGTATATGGACCGAGATAACTGAGTTCTGGACTGAGTGACTGGGTTCTGAACTGAGGATTATTACACAAAAAAGGTCAAAAGCGTTACATTAAATTGCTCATTTGAGTCAATAAATGCCCCCATCAGAAAATTAACCATGGTAATTACAATTTGCGTGGGTAATTGATTGACATAGCTCAGGATGACATAAAACAATCGAATGCGAAATTATATTACATCAATGTCTTTTTTGCTAGACTATATAATAAGTGGCATTTAACTCCGGGACGTTAACCATCAACATCACTTGTCGAAGTCGTTATGTAGTTTCATTAACTTGAAGAAAGAAGCACCAACACAATTCAATGATGACGTGAACATTAATGTAAATTTAGATTCTTCTCTCCATTGCGTAAAAAATTGCGTAGTGCAGACTGATACTCGATTAATCCGTTCGCTGGAGAAGAAATGAGGCCAAGAAAGCATAATTTTGTAATAGAAGTTGCCATAGAGGCAATAAGTAGAATTGGTAGAATGTAGTTTTGGTTGTTTTTTTTTGATCAACTTTTTTCAATAGCTCGACCGTCACAACCTAATGAGCAGAACAATGAATGTGCATCAAGAAAATATTTTCACATGTTTATCTCGCTTTGTTGAAATACATTTTATGTTTGACCAGGCATATTATTTATATCAATAGGATGAAGACGAATACTGTGGCAGATTTAGAAGCAGCCACAAGGTAGATCGGAGGAAGAATCTCAAATACGTAATAATATCGCTACTTTTACAGTGCAATACGATGCCGAAAAAAAAACCCCCCGCATGAAAGAACTACCAAAGCAAAACTCGGCTCAAAAGTGTCAAATTAGACATTTATAGCAACAAACTTTGTGTTGAACTTCGTAGTTTCGACTTAACACTTCACAAACAACTTCAACAACTATCCCCCACCCTCTCAACTTCGATTTCATCTTCAGCAAAAAATTACTCATGCCAAATCACTCCTATTCCTAATAAATCACGACCTAATAAAGCAGATAACCCAACCCCACTTATTTCATGGTGCAAACTTAAATTTTATTATCTTCTTTATTATCACTATTATCGATTATTTTTCATGGTTTACATTTTTTCGTCAATCCAACATTGTTCTTCGAAGGTGGAAACGACCTCCTTTGCCAAGGAATTTACAATCAACAATATGCAAATACAATAACTAAATATGCGTATCGTACCTTGACCAAATTCTTTGTCATATGACTATGAAAGAAAGACCATATTATACACAAATGTGCTGACCCTCATAAATTCTTGTCTAAAATGGTTTTGCTTTTAGAAATGATCGCTGCCAAACCGGCCTTTGAATTTTAATACAGTAGTTTTATGCTTATATAGCAGTATTGTTTTTCCGCAAAGATGGCGAATCTCGCTTACGATTGTTGAAATTTTTGATACCTAAATTAGATATCCAACCCAAATTTGGAAAGGGAAATGAAGTTAAGCGTTACACACGGATCATCGGTTCAACCTAACCTTATAGTCCTCTCCTTGAAACTTCTTATTCAAACGATGTCAGTAGTTAATAATCCAGCAATTGACGACTTGGTTCAATCCTCAAAAAGTGAATATGGACACTTAAGACTTAAATGGATTTCTTGTTCGCAAATTACCCACTTAGAGCCAACTCAAATTGACAACGTCTACTACGCAGTGGAGTTAAAGAAACGATAATGCTGTTTTGCCTTGGAACCAGCGGAGAATGTATACCAACACTTGTGAGTGAGTTTGCCAAAATATACTCACTTCCAACACACAAGTACAATAATGTTGGCAGTCAATTTGGACGATATGAGAAATGGATTGAATGGTGCAACAAATTCATAAAAAGATTTTCCAAGTATGACGATAATTATTACATGGTTGCTAATAAACTCTTTTACCATTGTTATTCTCGATATGGATTCTGTCTGCTCTGCACGTGGAATACTCCGATATAGTCCCGTGTGGTCATAAACAATTATCAGATGGAACAATAAGCAACTCGATGAGTTTATTAAGAAATCTCAATTACAAACTCACCAAATGAGCCGTATTTGGAATGGATTCCATTTGATTGTATTTATGGTAGGAGAGATAATGAGGCATATTTGTATGGTCTACCTACTCGTGCGTATGTTAAATTGATTCCACTTGAGATAACAGGCGAGACACATGATTTATATTATAATTATGCCGAGGTAAACAATTTACTTATGCGTCATGTTTATTGAATAGTTTAAATAATTATTATGTATCATTTCCACTATAACTAATTATGTGATGAACATCCAGATATTCTTAACACGGATGTTTGCGTTACCATCGGATTCACATATGATGCAAGTATACAAAAGTATTGTCTCATAAAAGTTGATGATGGATTATGTCTGGCGTGTACGGAACGATTAGAACCTAAGATAAATGGATTTTGTTATCGTTGTAAAGCGCCACAACCACTTGATTGGACTACGGGCAACAAGTCTTTGGATTCGTTTATTATGGAGTCATGGAAGAATATAAAGAACTTATATGATGCGTATATACAACGGATTGAATACTCTTTATTGACAAACGTACAAGAGATGATATCATTACGCCATGAATGCACACATACAGCAGAATGTTTAGAACCGACAACAAATGCATTGACACGTGTGACACTCAAAAAGATAGTTGATGAACAAAACGATCAGTTATTTGATTTTCATCAGGTAAGTTATTTCACGTATAAAACGTAAATAGTATTATTAACGTGTGCATCGCGCGTTTAAATCGGCCAATGCTGTAACGTTATATTCTGTTTACTTAAATAGCTAACTAAGGAATACCCGGAGATATTAACACCCGAGAATATTTGGATAATTAAGATCAATCTATTCTTAGCTGTGCTTAATAAAAGACACACAAAATCAAGAGCCATCTATTTAAGAATATTATTTAGTTTTCTACCATGAAATACGTCCGATATTGGACATATTTATACGAAATAATGAACTTGTAGATCACATGCAGTATAGCGACTTTTATAAACTCAAAGAGATCGGATCTGGTGGTTATGGAACAGTTTATACTGCCAAATACAAAAGGTATTCAGAAGTAAGGCATATGCAACAACTGTTGTACTCAAACGGTTTAAGAGTTTGATGAAACGCCGGAATTATTTATTTCCGAGGTAAGCAATAATTGGTAGTAGTACTATATTTAATTTGACATTGTATTTGCTTTTATCTAATAGTTCAGAAATCATGCCAAGTGTACGTATGGTAATTTTCTTCGATTTTATGGAGTTGCGCAAGACCCAGAAACAAAAGAGTCATGACTGTTATGCAATATGCTAACTATGGTAGTCTTTTGTCTTATTTGGATCAAAATATTAACAAATTGACATGGAGGATGAAATTATATCATTTGAAGAATATCGTATATTATCTGTTTATAATTCATGACGCAGGATTAATGCATTGTGATCTTCATGACGGAAACAGAGTTCCAATCAAGACACCCACTGATTATGATATGCGATCTTGGTCTCTCACAATCGGTGAATTCACACGAGTCAAATTCAACCATTCGAGGCGTTTTACCTTTTATTGCACCGGAAGTCTTCCATACTTGCAAAAATCAGATGTGTATTCTTTTGGTATCATTATGTATTTGATTGCCACTGGTGAACCACCTTTTAGAAATAGGCTGTTCGATAGAGATTTAGTATGCGATATTATGGGCGGACTACGACTATCGATGCCTGATTCCGCACTAGACGAATACAAGAAACTTGCCGAGCGGTGTTGTGATGCTGATCCTGATAAGCGTCCAGATGCATGGACACTTTGGCGTGAGCTTGTTAAAGAGGTGAAAAACGACAATTCTCATGACAATACTATCTATCATAATGATGTGAAACCCTTATCACGTCTTGTAAATATTCGAGTACGCTCTTACCTACTAAAAAACTATATGGATTCAGACAATATTAACACTGCATTTCTTATAATTTAGAGACTCTAAACTCTTTTTTGAACAAACTAGTTTACTAAATATGTATTCAATATACATAGTCTTAATATCGATTATGCGGCAAAGCCACTCTCAAGGTGATATTTGCGCAGCTGACTTCACGTTTCTAAAAGCCCGTAACCAAGTACAACGCGCGGCGGCATAGTGTCAGTGTTTTGACAGAGACATGATAATTTGAACTATAATGCAATATGTAAATTTGATCAGTCGGCTTACTGAATTTGAATACTTAAGTTATTACCCCGTCACTGCGATTAGCCATTGTCTCAGTAATTTCATTTACCCTCAGAAAAAATGTAGTCATTCGAGCTTTCTTAGAGGCTTGCGTCGATTGTACTATGACTCAGGGTTTTGAGTCTTTGGCGCTCATTTGATCCTAATTAGATGTGGGTACCTCAGTGCCTTCTCTGCTAACATGTCATATGGTTGAACCAAACAGGCTGACTGTATGGTTGGAGGATGACGTTCACCCAGTGTAAATAATAGTTCGAAACGTCAGACATTATATCTTCAAACGTT